ACGTCACCAGCAGCTCCCAGTCTCTGGTGACTCTGGACTGTGGTGGGATTATTGGTCGCATTGTGACCGTAACCCACCCTGACTTACCTCTGACCCTGTGTGAGGTGGAGATCTTCAGTACATGGGAGCATCCAGAAAATAAGTTTCCCCAGCGACCCCCCTCCTCTGGTAAAAACACAATGATATTTCACGAACTCTTTAAGAGCAGAATTCCAGTTAAGTCTCCCACATACTCAGGCGTACTGTGTGCGGTCCATGAGCCACGCGGACTCTGCGCATATTGTCCGCGGATGTTTGAGACTTCATACTCAAGCGTACTGACCGCCAGACAAATTCTTTAATTTCTCGCAATTTCTGTCATGATGTCAAGGACGAGGAGGAAGAGATAGTTTGCATTTTAGCTTTAAAACCATAAAAGAAAAAAGAAAAGAACTACCTTACCCAGGATCTGAGCTATTTCCTCCCACAAATTTATTATTCACTGAAATATTCCTTCATTGACGCATCAAAGTTTTCTAAGCTCCTCCATGAGACACTTTTCAAGATTTGACTCCATTTCGTCCACAAATGACATATCAGCTTGGTGTTGCACCCAGAACAGTACATACCATTGTACGCTCCACGGATGCAGACGTAAAAAAGTGATCTCTGTGCAGACCAGTCCGGTGGACGTCTGCTTCGGGTTTGCATTGAGTCTGCCTCGAGTCCGCGCGGACCTCCACGGACTGAAGTACGCCCAAGTATGTGAGGGCCTTAAGACTCCTGATGTTCATCATGTTTGCAGATGATACTGTCAACTATATCTGTTGTGTGACAAACAAATCTTGTTACAACTCTCTGAAAATAATTATATCTATTACCATTAAACATCTTAAATACCACATGATATGGCTGTGCAAAACGTAGATTATTGATTCCCTCTCTTTTAGAGAAAACTGATGTGCTGCAGTGTTAAATTTAAAAGGAAGCTAATCTGATCTAAATTTGTTACATTAAGTTGTGCCTATAATGCCCTCAATTAGTGATTTATTTAGACAGAGTGAAACAGTTTTGATTCACATCAAAGCCACATCAAATATGAACTAATAAAGACATTAGTGACTTGGTCTGTGTGTCCACAGATTACTGCCCCTCAGATTACTGCAGCCGTGACTACATTTTCATTGATAAAGAGCCGATGACTTGGTTCGAAGCTCAGAGCTACTGCAGAGAGCACCAAACTGACCTGGCTGTCATAGGCAGCCCTCGGGATATGAACAGAATTATAGACAAGATGAACGAGAACAACGTTTTCAGTTTTTGGATCGGGTTGTATGAAGACGTGTTTACCTGGAGGTGGTCCCTGTCAGACCCGGTTCACCTTGAAGCTGAGTTCAGGAACTGGGCAGCTGGAGAACCCAACGAGCAGATGAGCGTCCCTCTCTGTGTCAGCATACGAGACACCGGTGGATGGCAGGTCCTGGACTGTGGTGGTCTTCACTACTTCTTCTGCTTTGATGGTAATATTTTGTAAATATACTGTATTTTAAAGAAACCATTTCAAGTTTGAGTACTGGGCTAATTTTTCATTTAATTTATTAACATTTTAGTTGGGTTAAATTTTGTACAACCTCAAACTTAATTGCTCTTTGAATCGAATTTGAATTGATTACTACAGTCAATTTTTCAGTTTATTTATACAGCAACAACAAAAGTCATTTCAGGGCACTAAACAACAGTCACACACAGCATATAGTAGAGTAAAAGTTATTCATCTGAGGAATAAAGCAGATTGTCTTGATTCTTCACTTTCATCACAAACTCCCATCCTGCGCAGCACTTTGGTATGTCCTCCAGCAGTCTAAGCCTGAAGTCTGAAGAACTGAGGGAAAGCTCAGGAACCCAACCCTAACTATAGGATTTATCAAAAAGGAAAGTCTTACTCCCTAAAAGTAGTCAGTGTCAGTTAGTGTTGTAGTCAAGACCATCTAACCCGAGACCAAGTCAAGACCAAGACCACAGTGTCTCAAGACTGAGACAAGACCAAGACTTTTAGGGTTTGGACCAAGTCGAGACCAAGACCAAGGGAGGGCGAGACCAAGACAAGACCAAGACTTTTAGGGTTTGGACCAAGTCGAGACCAAGACCAAGGAAGGGCGAGACCAGACAAGACCATAACCAGGAAAAACAAAAACAAAAAACAAAACAAAAACTAGTGTCCTAAAAGATGGAGTATTCTGCACACATGTACAGTGGAGGGGAAGAGATATTTAGTCAGCCACCAATTGTTCAAGTTCTCCTACTTAAAAATATCAGAGAGACCTATAGTTGACATCATAGTTAGATCTTAACTGTGAGAGACGAAAACATTTCTAGAAAAATCAAGATTTTTTAAAAAATTTATTTGCAAATTATGGTGGAAAATTAGCCTGGCCCTTGCCTTCCTACGCAGTTCCACTCAGTTCTAGTTTCCCTTCACTGCTCCATCTGGGACTTCTCCCGTAGACAAGGATTTCTTCAGAAGAGTTTTTGTCTGAACCAATCAGAGAACAGAACGTCGATTTTCTGCGCAGTGTCTGTTTGTAGTTTATTTAACCTGGGCCAATCAGAGAACAGAAGGAGGAGCTTTGAATGACGTCCATTTTCTTCGCAGTGTCTGCTAGTTAGTTTAGCATACGGCAGTGGAGGAAGTGAATGAAGCCAGTCTGTGTTGATAAGGCTTCCAAATTAAAATAAATTTGTCTGACAAAGCAGCCCCTCTCATTTACAGTCATCTCATTTGGCTCGGTCTATTTCTCCTCTCAGTAGAGTTGTTTACAGCACTCGCGATTTCCGGTTAGCTTCTTAGCTTAGCCTCCTTCACAGTGACATACGTCGCGGCCAACTGATCCAATCATTTTAAACTTCAGCAGAGGCCACGCCTCCAGCAAGAATCACTTCTCTGTAGCCGAGAGTCCAGACCCTCGTACGAAGCAAAGTGAAGTACAAGGGTCTGGTTTTTATCAGGCTAGTGGAAAATAAGTATTAGCTCAGTAACAAACATTTCTGGCTCTCACAGATCTGTAACTTCTTCTTTAAGAGGCTCCTCTAGCCTCCACTCATTACCTGTAGTAAAGGCACCTGTTTGAACTTATCAGTATAAAAGACACCTGTTCATAGCCTCAAACAGTCACACTCCAAACTCCACTATGGTGAAGACGAAAGAGCTGTCGGAGGACACCAGAAACCGAATTGTAGACCTGCACCAGGCTGGGAAGACTGAATCTGCAATAGGCAAGCAGCTTGGTGTGAAGAAATCTACTGTGGGAGCGATAATCAGAAAATGGAAGACATACAAGACCACTACTAATCTCCCTCGATCTGGGGCTCCACACAAGATCTCAGCCTGTGGGGTCAAAATGATCACAAGAACGGTGAGCAAAAATCCCAGAACCACACCTAGGACCTAGTGAGTAACCTGCAGAAGGCTGGGGCCAACGTAACAAAGGCTACTGTCAGTAACACACTACACCACCAGGGACTCAGATCGTGCAGGGACAGACGTGTCCCCCTGCTTAAGACAGTACATCTCTGAGCACGTCTGAAATTTGTTAGAGAGCATTTGGATGTTCCAGAAGAGTATTGGGAGAATGTCATATGGTCAGATGAAACCAAAGTAGAACTATTTGGTAAAAACACAACTCGTCGTGTTTGGAGGAAAGTGAATGCTGAGTTCCATCTAAAGAACACCAAACCTACTGTGAAGCATGGGGGTGGAAACATCATGCTTTGGGCTGTTTCTCTGCAAAGGGATCAGGGTGACTGATCTGTCTACAAGAAAGAATGAATGGGGCCATGTTTGGTGAGATTTTGAGTGCAAACCGCCATGAGCAAAAGCATTGAAGATTAAACGTGGCTGGGTCTTTCAGCATGACAATTATCCCAAGCCCATCACCAGGGCAATGAAGGAGTGGCTTCGTAAGAAACATTTCAAGGTCCTGGAGTGGCCTAGCCAGTCTCCAGATCTCAACCCCACAGAAAACCTTTGGAGGGAGTTGAAAGTCCGTGTTGCCCGGCGACAGCCCCAAAACATCACTGCTCTAGAGGAGATCTGCATGGAGGAATGGTCCAACATACAGTGTGTGCCAACCTGGTGAAGACTTACAGAAAACCTTTGAGTGCTGTCATTGACAACACTTAATATATAACAAAGTATTGAGATGAACTTTTGTTATTGACCAAATACTTATTTTCCACCATAATTAGCAAATAAATTCTTTAAAAAATCAGACAATGTGATTTTCTAGATATTTTTTCACATTTTGTCTTTCATAGTTGAGGTCTAACTATGACATTAATTACCTCATCTTTTTAAGTTGGAGAACTTAAACAATTGGTGCTGAATAAATACTTTTTTCCACACTGTAGCTAACTTAATATATAGAGCTAATATTGACAAAATCTTTGAGGGCAGAGGAAAGAATTTTGCTACAGAGGGCAGATTGTTAATGTTAGTGACGATAAAAATTTAATGATGTCCCCATTGTCTCTGAAAGTGAAAGACTGCTGAATGTACAAGTTGCTGTATGCTTTCTCCTGGTTGTTGTTGGTTTACAATGATATTTATGATTAATGTAGCCAAATTTTTGTTTTTAAAATTTTGAAGACATCTTTTACCGCACTCAGAGAACCACTGCTTACTTTCCTGGAGTGCTGCATGAAAGTGGAGAGTGTGGAGATGGGTGACAGCTGGCAACAAAAATACATAAATAACAATGAGTCAGGTTTGGATTTGAATCAGTAGCTACATTTTACATCCAATGAAAGCAAGGATGTTAACTAATAAACTGGACAATAATCTGGCTATTTAGTTATATTTGCACAGTTGTGGTCTTGACTGGTCCTGAAATAAAATTCCAAGTCCTCAATGTCCGAGACCGAGACAAAACCAAACTCATCAAAAAGTGGTCGTGAGACTGCTCTTAAGACCAAGACTGGTTTCAAGTACTACAACACTAGAGTCAGTCTCATGAACAGAAGAAACTGGTTGTTCAAGAGAGGAGCCTGAGAATCTAAAGCTCTGCCTCCACTTCTACAGGGTAAGTCAAATCACAGGACACCATTTTATTTTGATCTCATATGATGTCTATGTTCTGGACAAAGGATAAATATAGACCATTATTCAGGTACATCTTTATTATTTTCTGAAATAAAAGCGTATCCTGAGCATTTTTCACTCACCTTGTACTTTTAGAAACTCTAGGAATCCAAAATAAACCTGCAGTCTGAACACGGTCCTACATACCAGTGTCCTATCAACCACTGTCAGCTTTACTAACAGTGCTGGTGAATCTTTCACAGGCAGAGCTGGAGCCTCTGAAGCTAAAGTTCTTGTGCAAACACCAATGAACTGGGTCGATGCTCAGCAGTACTGCAGGGAGAGACACACCGACCTGGTCAGTGTGAGAACCTCTGCTGAGAACGAGGAGATCCAGAGGATGGTTCCAGCAGGAAGGCTGGTCTGGATCGGCCTTTTTGGGGACACCTGGAAGTGGTCTGATGGACGGGACAGCTTGTTCAGATACTGGCTGCAGGGCAACCCGCAGAGCTCAGGGTCCGGATCAGACTGTGTTCATGTTGATGGTGGAGCATGGAGGACACAGTCCTGTGACTCCAAATCATCTGTTCTCTGCTACTGTGAGTCTTTAATAGACTGGCCGGGAAATCATTTAAAGTGAATTGTTATAAATGATCAACAGCTGGGTTTGATTTAACAAAAATAAAATCATGTTTTATCCATTCTGAGTATTTGAGTTAAGAAAAAAATCACAATGTAATTTTTGTCCCAAAACAAATATAATCTCATCTATATATAAAGTATAAATGCAGCTTCATTCATTTTCACAAGAAAGTCAAATAAACAATCAAGAATTAAAAATGCTCTAAGGTGATGCAACTCTGATCCAGGTTGAAAAACAAAAACAAAACAAAGTAGGTCCTCTTGACTCTATTGTGATTTTATTTTTTACTTCCTGTCCATACACTGAAAACTACAGAATAGAATTCCGAGTTTTAAAAAACTGTTTAAAAATACTTTTTTTAAACCATGGCACTAAACGTCTTCCATGGTAAAGCAAAGTCAAGTTACGCTCAGCCTAAAGAGGAAACAGTTTTTTATGTAAAATTCCTTGAAGACATGCACATTTCCTGTTACCTTTCACTGCAAAGTTTTAAACTAAAATGCATGTTGTAGATTTGTTAGACTGTTTCAGATGACTCTCAGCTACTGCCACACTAAAGTTTAGCTCAATATCTGTAAAATAGACTGAGTCCAAAATGTAAACATTTCTAGCTGTACATCCAGTGATTACGGTCTGAGAGATTCTCAGTGGTTCATTAAATATTTTTGCTAACACCATAGACAGACGAATGCACACAGACAATTACACGATGGCCTGCTTTCCATGGCAGCGTGTGATTTAAACATGCCAGAGGTTTGTGTAGCTGTCTGAAGTGTTTTATAACACAGCAAGCTTAGGTTAATAATCGTGTTTTTCAGATTATAAGAAACGATCTGTGGTGAAAATCAGCTCTGATGTCGACATGTGTGACCCCGCTGTCCAGCAACAAATTCAACAGCAGGTGAGGCCAAGAGTGTGAGCTATTATGACCTCTTTTTAATACATGCATTTAGCAATCAATCACCTGCATTCAACATAAGCAAAAAGTTTAATTGTTATAGTTTTATTGTAATCAAGTTCAGTTTGGACATTTCCTTTAAATGTAGCCTGTTTATTTCCTAGCTGGAGACAAAGATGAAAAGCAAAGGCATCAATGACTTCAAGATCCGTTGGAGGATGTCTGGGAAACAGGTTTCACACAACAATCAAATAAAACAGTAAGAAACCTTCCAGGGAACATGTTCTTCTGTCTTTATTTCCTTTCAGTTTTACCTGTAGTAGACTTAATTATACACGGTGAGTCAAAAGTAACAGGACGCCCTTTTATTTCAGAAACAAAAGGGAAAAATAAATGCAAGCAATGAGTGAGGGGTCTATTTTAGTCTACGTTCAGAGCATGGCTGCCATTTTAAAAGCCTCCATTTTTGGATCAAAGTCAAGTTTTCCCAATGTGAAGGGGAACAGACTTGTCAATACAAGTCAAGTTGGATTGTCTGTAAATTAAACAGATTTCCCCCTATTTGTATACAGATGTTTAGGGCAATCTTACTGATTTTTTCAAAAACTTTCCTTTAAATTTGTTTAGGTCTAAAAGCTGTTTATGCTGACAAAGACACTGCGATCAGCACCAGGGACAGAACACGAAACACATCAATGTGCATCACAGGCAACACACATTTTGACAGGTGTGTGTTTTTCTCCAACAGGTGTGCGAAGTCTCAAGCAGGTGAAGTTTGAGCATCAAGCCTGAATCATTGTCTAAAGAGGGATTATGAAGAGGAGCAGTTTCATAGATCTTCTAGATTTTCATTTTCTCTACGGAAACAAATATATCAATTCTTTTAACATGTTTTTATTGTGTGTCTTAGTGTTTACATGATGTAACTGCTGAGGTGAGAGTAACACAAGGCTTTGGTAGAACTATATTTCTGTGACCTAACATCTAGAAAAGTTAGGTAATCCTTCAACTAAACTTACTGTCCAAGAATTGGTAATTTTATTTCAATATTGCTGACTTTTGAGTTTTACTCTGAAGGGTTAATGTGTTAAACACAGCTTTAGTATTTATTATTCTTCCCTTCAGTTCTACTAAAGTAGCTTTTTTACTCCCAGTAATTAGATATATTTATATATAGGCTGCCCTACAAGTCATGCAAATTTATTCTGACAAACTTTTAAAATAAAGTGTTGATTTAAAACATTAAGTGTTAAACTTACCCCAAAACAGACATTTAAATTCTTCATAAATGCCCATTAAACAGGTAGAAAATGAATGATTGGATTTGTAATCGTTAAATCAACCACAAGATGTCACAAAGTGCTCAGGAGAAATTTAGTGCTGCCTGAAGAGGAGAGGCTGCAGAATAAATCCTACAGCTGAGCTGGAAACTAAATAACACTTTGTGTTTTATTTGTCCTTATAGGTTCATCTTCTTTAGAAAACACAAACAAACACACCAGACTGGACAAAATGGAGTTAATTGTAAAAGTGTTTCATGCTTTGTTTTAAACTTATTATGAATATTATTTTAAATCATACTATAAAAAAAGCTTTTTAATCACAGATAAAGGTTTGGTGAAAAAAAAAGAATAACATGAAGTAGCTACCTGACTGTGGAAGACAGAAACTGACAAATAAAAACAAAAGCATACATAAGCAAACACAAAATACAGTTCATAAATGAAGCTCTTTATTATTAAGGAGTAAATAAATCTAAACCTACAGGACCCTGTATGACAAAGTAAATGCCCCCCTGTGATTTATCACATCTTTGGAAATCTGAGTTTAATTACCCTAGCCACACCCACACCAGTGCTCCTTGCTGTTTTGCTGCCATGTCGGTGTTTGCTTTAATAAAGTTTTTTTTCCCCTTGAGCCAGCTTGTTCTTCCACATCCTGGGTCCTCCTCACCACCAAGCTCATGTCAATTTCTCATGTTTTACTGTCTATCATCAACTTTTTCATTTGTTATTTTTTGAGGTACGTTTTGTCGCAATTCAGCAAATCAGGTGAAAAAAAGAAAATCCTCACTAAAATTCCAATTATTTGATTTTAAACAAATGTTTGTTGATGCTAATCTGAATCAGTAACATTTGAAATTCAGTGTACATGTATGTATAACAGTTTTGTAGAAATTAACACATTTGTAATGTTTTTAAAGGAATTATTAACTATACAATCTTCAAATCATACYATCTTTGTACTTATCAATGCATTTGTAAAACATAAACAGAACTCTTAACTCTTGTAAAATATCAGTTATGAAAAAACCTACATTTTTTCCAATCAGTATAATTTGTTTTGCTGCTCTGGGAGGTCAATRCCCTAAACCGTTATTTTCCTAAGAGATAATTGAACATATAAATCAATATTAATTTAAACCATTTCAGAACTTTACACAATTCAAAGAACAGATTTAATTTAAATCATGTTTCTTCTTRATCTTGGGTCAAATGTCATAAAAAAGCTACAATACTCACCTGTTGARGCTGTTAGAGTCAGCAGAGAAATAATGACTCCAGCCGACAGCTTCATCATCTTCAACATGCTGGATCRAGTAAGCTTGGTTTATACTTSGAGYCACACGTCTTTTTCCACCTGCTGAATGACAAAAAAWTGTTTAACTTCTGTCTGMTCTCCMACTGCTATCCCCCGGTGACAGCTGTCCTGYACATTGCCCCCAGTCATTACCATAGATATAATAAAAAGACTAGATAACTCCATTGATACGTATATATTACTGGATTAGGCGTGGCTATAGCTACATCAATGTGCACACAMTGGAGCTTTGTTATGGATTGAAGAGCCTCAACAAAATGAATGGATGTCATTGGACTGTGAGGCATCATCCTGATGAAAAGCTCTTATAAATTTCTTATTTCTTGCTCGATTTTTACAAACTATGGCTCAAAATAAAGCTGAGGAAATTGTGAATTATGAAGCTTATGCGCAAATTCAGACTGGAAGACTCTCCCTTTATTATTGGTATATATTTATTATTTCCTTTTTTATCTCACCTGTTCCATCCAATGGCTGCGTCAGGCTCCCAGCTGCAGTCAATCAGCATCAGATCCTCGCCTCAACATACCAATCAACTCACAGCGAGCCAGGTCTAAAGGCCCAGCTTCCAAGGATCAGTCTGCTCACCAGACGTGTTCAACACGAGCGTTCCTGCACGTTCCAACACGCGTCTCTCCCTGGTGCGGATCACCTCCCTCCTACGTTCCCGCCCTGCCGTCTCCTCTTTCTGCATCTCCAGCTGTCGCCGGCTGTTCGAGGTCTCCTGCTCCCTGCCGAATGCCACGGTGGCCACCCCTCTTCTCTTCAGACTCCCGCTCTTGTCTCTCCATCTATAGCAAGCCGGATTATTCACAAATAATCCTAGAAATAGCCCGTCTGGTTAAAAAGTCACGTAAATTCCATCGTTTTCTACCTAAATCTGCCGGAAAATGCGGCAGAAATTCATCCAGAACGCCGGGTTTTCCGGCGTTCATGAAGCTGTGGAAAACCCGGCGTTCTGGATGAATTTCCATTGTTGTGTCTGAATGACAATAAACAATTCTTGATTCTTTTGTTCTGAAAATTGGCATTTGCAAGTTTCTGGGCTTGTTTTGTGTGTAGGCAAGCTTTATAAATCCAACCCCCGACCTTTACTCTTGTGGAGTTGCTAAGAGGGTCGTAGGAGCTTGCCTCTCTGGTGCACATGTGTTTTGTGTGTATGAGTGTTGTGTATTTTACTTAATAATTAAACAAGGACTAAATTATGGATAGGTGAAAATAGTTTATTTGAACAAATGTAGTCTTTCGTTACAAAGAATTTTGTAATTTGACGAGAGAATACATCAGCAACACTTAAAGTGTTTCCTCGGTGTCTCAGACAAAACTTCAGGATCTCAGTCAGACAGAGATATTTAGAACAGATGTAGATATTCTGATTCAAAGCAAAGTTTCTCCATGACACCATGTAACACCGCCAAAAAATAAAAACAAAAAAAAAAAACATATGATATTCAAATGAAGAAAGGCTTTGGTATATTTGCAATTTTTGTCTTCTACACATCAACAGCAGAAAGAACAGAGCAACATTCACCCCAACACTGAAGACATGCAGTACAACCCCCACAACACGCAGCAAAACCCTTACAACATCTAGTAAACGACCCACAGCAATCCTCTGAGCCAGCATCTAAACACACAAAAAACACAAACAAAAAAAATTGTCAGTCAAATTAGAGCTTTGACTGTCAAATGGACTGCAGCTGAAGTCTTTTTGTTTACTACAACTGAATAACTGTGGCAATTACAACAGCGTATTAGGGCCACTTTGCAGATGAAAAATAAAAGGAGGAGCAAATCTCCGAGAAAAAACTCAGAATTTCTGAGATTGATTTCAGAAATTTTCGAGAAAAAACAAGGAGATTTTCTGTACTCCAAAAGTTGTTAATTTGCAAAAATAAAAATCTGAATTTCTGAGATTAATTTCAAAATTTTTTTGAGAAAAAACCCCCCAGGAAATTCTCTTATGCTGAAAAGTCACAAATTTGCGAGGAAAAAAAACCCTCAGAAATTTCCATAATTAAAGGCAGAAATTTGCTACATTTAAAAAAATTATTTCTGACATGGCAAAGTCAGAAATTTACAAGAAAAAAACTTGTAATTTATGAGAAAAAAAAACTGAAGTTTCCAGGAACGGCTAAAGGGCTATTCCACCTGTTTTCACTGCCTTGAGCATCTTTAATCTGCTCTAGTTTAAAAACTAAAACACATTGAGACTTCAAACTTGGATTAGATTATTCTACACTGATTGCAGAGTATTTAAAACCAAGTGTGTGATTTGTGAAACATATATTTGATAAGTGAAGCTTCAGTATATGGTGATTTCAGCACTTTTTATGCATTTTATGAAAAAGCATGGCCCGACCGCGTCCACGGTCCACCATAGACTTTGCATGTAAACCTGACTCCCCTGACGCTCAAAACGCATTAGGTGTGAGTGACTGAGGAAATAACTAAGTCAGTAAACTTTATTTAAATAGACATTTTCGTAGACACGAACATCGCAACATGCGTAAGAGAAAAAAAAAGACATGTTTCAAAATATTTATAGACTTTTACTTTGAAATATCTGGTTACCAAAACAGGACATGTCACCACAAGTTGGGAAAATTGATGGTGATATTGCGTGGCTGCATAGAATTTTGAAAAAAAAAATTTTTTTTCTATAGGCTCCATGATCATTTTGGATGATTTCTTCAGTCACTCTAATTCTCTCACCTCTCCATCGGGCCATGCTTGTTCATAAAATGCATAAAAAGTGCTGAAATCACCATATTTCCTTAAGCTTCACAAATTTAATATAAGTTTCACAAATCACACACTTGATTTTAAATATTCTGCAATCAGTGTAGAATAATCTAATCCAAGTTTGAAGTTTTTTTTTAACTAGAGCAGATTAAAGATGCTCAAGGTAGTGAAAACAGGCGGAATCACCCTTTAGCCGTTCCTGAAAATTTCATTTTTTTCTCATAAATTGACAAGTTTTTTTCTTGTAAATTTCTGACTTTACCATGTCAGAAAATATTTAGTTTAAATGTTGCACATTTCTGCTTTAATTATGGAAATTTCTACGTTTTTTTCTCGCAAATTTGTGACTTTTCAACATAAGAGAATTTCCAGTTTTTTTCTCTTGAAAATTTCTAAAATTAATCTCAGAAACTCAGATTTTTTTCTTGCAAATTTACGACTTTTGGAGCTCAAAGAATTTCCTTGTTTTTGCTTGAAAATTTCTGAAATTAATCTCAGAAATTCTGTTTTTTCTCTGAGATTTGCTCCTCCTTTTTTTTTCTTTCATCTGCAAAGTGGCCCTAATATGCCATCGTAGGCAATCTATCCAATGCAAAATGCAGCTGGAAACTTTTTAACCTACCTGATTCTGCGTCTGCCATTCCCAATGCGATGAAGATGATCACAACGAGGATGATGATGCCTGTGATGATCCCAACAACGAGGCCAAGACCAACGTCAGGGTCTAGAAGAAGGTTGTGAAGGATTCATGAATGTGCTCTCAGGCGAGGGTTAAATAGATTTAATTGTTCAAAGGCTCCATATAAGGCTGAGTTTGTTTCCTTATTTAGTGCTTACTTGTCATTGTGTTCTCTGGTGGAGAGCCATTTGGACCCACAGGTGCTGTTTGAAGATGAAGAGAAAAAAACGTATCAGTTTTAATCTCTTTGTTTTCTGTTAGGATCTCTGTGTTTTTGTTATGGTTTTCATTTTTTGTGTTTTACTTTCATTATTCCCTTTTCTTGGTTTCTTGAGTTTCTGCATTTAAGATTCTTGTTTCTTTGTGTTCCCTCTCCCACGTCATCATTTTACCCTAATTCAGCCTCTCAGTGCTTTCCAGTTAATCAGCATCAACAAAATAAGCTGTTTGACAGAGAAGATTTGGCAAATCGTTCATGTGTGTAACTGACATACTCAGCTCTAATGCTCATCCCACAAATGCATGTTCCTTACAAATGTGGCAACATTAAAAGGGAAATAAATAGGCTTTAAGATTTATTGCCAAGAACCATTGTTACAACAAAGAAGTCATCTACCAAACACACATTTCCATACTTTTTGTGCTATAGTTATACCAGTTTTTACCACCTTTACATCAGTGGATCATTGTTTTTGACACTCTGGACTGACCTGATACTTCACCCTTGATGGTGAGAAATAAAACCTGTGACTTTCTGGTCTCTGAACTTTCTGCCCCCACTGGATTGTACCTCCTCTGCCTCAGATATCGCCAGACCCCTGCTCTCGCCCAACTCCACCTCAGAGGTTGTTATTCCCTCTAATGCCGTTGTGTCATGTGAGAATATTATGTTATTTTTTTATGTGAAATTTCAGAATTTCAGAAGGTCCACATGGAGGTAAACATCCACAGGGTCGACATGTACGTGATTCTCACCTTCATGGGTGTGATCAAAGCATCACTCCGTGAGCCTGACAAAGACACTAATGACTCTCCAGTGAAGTGAATTTAATCTGCATTAACAGAACATCTCATGCAGTTCAACGCTCAACATTCAACACTCTCCAGTGTTTTGAAAGCTCCTCAGATGGGAAGCAAAATGTCTTCAACTGGAGAATAGAAGTCCACTAGTTTTATCTTTTTTAAACTTCCATAGTTATGTCCTGATGCATCTCAGTAATCCAGGTAAAAAATCAAAAAGAAAAAAATTGTGTCGGTCTTCTGGACGGGTTCTTCTCTAATGAAACGTTTCGTCTCTCCTCCAAGAGACTTCTTCAGTCTGAGAGTTTCAGGCAAAATTCAGGCTTTTAAGTCCNGTCCTTGGCTCTTGGACAACTCTTCTGATAATTCTTTTCACTCCTCTGTCAGAAATCTTGTGAGGAGCACCTGGTCGTGGTCGGTTTATGGTGAAATGATGTTCTTTCCACTTCTGAATTATGGCCCCAACAGTGCTCACAACAACACAGTTCTTGAATCCATCCATCCATCATCTTCAGCTTTATCCGAAGTCGGGTCATGGAGGCAGCAGCTTGAGCTAGGAAACCCAGACCTCTCTTTCCCCAGCCACCTCTTCCAGCTCTTCTGGGAGGACTCCAAGGCATTCCCAGGCCAGCCGAGAAACCTGGTCTCTCTAGCGTGTCCTGGGTCTTCCTCGGGGTCTCCTCCCAGATGGACATGCCTGAAGCACCTCATAGGGAGGCGTCCAGGAAGCATCCTTACTAGATGGCCAAACTGGAACAGCAGCTCTACTCTGAGTCTCTCCTGGATAACTGAACTTATAACCCTATCTCTAAGGGAGAGTCCAGCTACACTGCAGAGAAAACTCATTTTGACCACTTGTATCTGCGATCTTGTTCTTTCGGTTACTACCCAAAGTTCGTGACCACAGATGAGGGTAGGAACGTAGACCGATCGGTAAACAGAGAGCTTTGCCTTACAGCTCAGCTCCTCCTCATCACAACAAATTGTTACAGTCCGTAAAACTGAAGAAGCTGCGTCAATCCATCTATCAATCTCACACTCTATTCTTCCCTCACTCGTGAACAAGACCCCAAGATACCTGAACTCCTCCACTTGAGGCAGAACAGCCAGGAGAGAACAATCCACCCTTTTCCAACTGAAGACCATGGACTCAGGTTTGGAGATGCTGATCTTCATCCCAGCCACTTCACACTCAACTTACACTGGAACCTTTAATTCTGTACAGATCTCCCTCAAGGCTGGTTCTCCCTTTTATTTTAGAATCTTGAGCAGTCTCTCCACAGCCATGTACAGTGAGTTCCACCTGGCTGTTGAAGAACCTGAGAAGATTTTGAAACATCAACTGTTGAGAGTGAGTACAGAAAAACTTCAAGGTGCCTCCTTTCTTTTCCAAAGAGGATTTCTGCCAGCTTCTCCAAAAGGTGACAGTGTTGAGCTCAAGATTCATCATCTGGAAGAGATGAATGCTTTGGAGAACTCAACAAGTGTTAAAATGGGTGAGAAGGTTGAGAGGAGAGATCGTCATGGAGAGGAGATGGAAGCCGCTTCTGAGTGTAAAGCTGTATGGAACTCTGTTTGTGCCAGACCAAAAAATCTCTCAGGAAGGATTCAGCTCTTAGATGACAACGGATGGCCAGAATTACAGAGAAATGTTTTCTCTCCACCTGCAAGGAGAAGAAAATGACAGGCTGAAACCAATACAACTGATAACAGCCAGAGAAATGAATCAGTCTTTCTTCAAAACAGATTCACACCACTGGAAGAAACTGGTGAGTTTGAACAAAGTTCATCCACTGACCTCAGAGAGGGACTTGAGGCCAGGTTCAGCTCAAAGCCAAAGCAAGTCCAAAAAGAGACTTTCAAGATTCAAGAAATGCTGATCATCACAGATAAAATGGTGAATGAGATCAGAGGCTTCTGGAACAAGAAAAAGGTTAAAGTTCTCAGTTTTGCTGATAAAGTGTCTGACCTCACAGAGAAGATTCTGGAAATCACAGCTGAGTATCCAACTCTGAAGATGCTCATCATTCATACAGGAAGTGATGAAGTTCTGAACCGACAGTCAGAAATCCTGAAGAAGGATTTCATTCAGTTGCTGAATGCAGTTAAAAATCTCAACATGGATGTATTGATCAGTGGACCAATTCCTACAGCCAGAGGAGGGGCTGAAAGGTTCAGTAGACTATTTGCTCTTAATGGTTTTTTTTTTTTTGGAAAAGTCCTGTGCTGACCACTCTGTGAGATATGTGGACAACTTTGATCTCTTCTGGGAGAGACAATACCTGTTCAAGTCTGATGGAATGACTCTGAATTGAGCTGGAGCAGAGCTGTTAGCTTCAAACAAGAAGTATTTCCTGAATCAAGTTCCGGCTGGACCCCAACAACAGCAGAGTGATCAGCTGACATCTGAGGCTGAAGAAGCACAGAGAGGGGAGTTACTTCAAACTGCTGATCTGGAAAACCATCTGGATTCATCAGCATCACAAACAGAGGAACCAGAACATGTGTTCCCCCAGCCTTTAACTGAAGAAAAACTGGCCACTTCTTCTCCACCAGAGGAACCCAAACCATCAACTAAGAATGAAAATGTAAGACCTACTTCCAGAAGAAGACCACAAGTTGGAGACRACATTGAGGACCCTGTACAACGAGAAAATCGCTTCCAAATGCGTGCAAATCTGAAGCATCAATGGGAGAGGCTACCGAATGGATGGGGAGATTGGGCGATAGAAATGTGGATAGATGAGATGAAAAGGAAAAAAAATTGTATAGGTCCTCTGGACGGGTTCTTCTTTAATGAAACGTTTCGTCTCTCTTCCAAGAGACTTCTTCAGTCTGAGAGTTTCAGGTAAAATTCAGGCTTTTTGAAGACTGAAGAAGTCTCTTGGAAGA